ATATAATATATAATATATAATATATAATATATAGTATTATATAATATTATATAATATTATATAAAGATATTATATAATAAAGATATTACACGCCGAGAAACAATTTAATTATACTTGAATCATGCGACACAAGAGTAATTCTCTCGCGGACATTAAAATATGTTTCCTTTATGTTATTTACTAGAAAATTTTATGCAAAGTATCCGAAGATGTATATCAATGTAAATGTATAACGGCACACACGCGCATACACACACACAAACACACACAATACACACACACACACACACACGTGCGCGCGAAATACACGACTAACAAGATTTTCATTATGTATATGTATTTTTTTTTTTTTTTTTTTTTCAATACTCGTTTACAGATATGACCACGCCGATCAGAATCTACGATAATTGAAATCCTATCGATACAACCATCCGAGTTTGCGATTAACGAATGTCGTTTTTCCTTATCCGAACGAACCTTCGGCGACATTCGATTTACGCGATTGACAATTTACGCGTATATCGTGCGCTATACACTATATACCGAAAAATTGCACCATATCCGCATGAAAACTTTAGTGCTCATGCTTGATATAAATTTGATATGAGAAAGAAGGATCTCTAGTTTAGATTATAGTTATTTCACTAAAAAAGAACAATTGTACACAAAACGTGACATGTTCATTGACAAACTCGACGTGTCCGTGCAAAGATGATTAATAAAACATGGAGATTTATTTATTTATTTATTTTGTTTTTCGAGATTTCTATAGATAAAACAGGAAAAGAACTGTTCCGTTCACAGACAGAACGAGAACTCGACACGTGAGATGAGAATATAACTGTGATATTTGTTTTTGTAACTTATAGAGAAAATTGTTTCTCTCAACGCAATTAAAAAAATTCATTCTCTGTAGTTTTCTTTTATTTTATTATCTTAAACTTGTTAAAATGCTCGCATAAATGTACATTTATTACCAGAATTCCGTCCGAAGATATGTGTTATTTAATTAAATATTAGATATTTTTTCTCTCTACCATTTGAGACAAATCGATAAACTTAATCTATTTACCGAATTGTTTAATTCGACCGTTACATTTCTTGATAATAATCGCGAGTTGTTCCAACAATTACACAAGTTTGTTCGATATGTCGCGTATGTCTGATAAAAAAAAACAAAATTAAAAAAGAAAAAAATGAGGAAATCAAACCTTTCTCTTCGGAGCAAACCGAACCTTTCTTTTCGCTTTTCATGGACGACTAACGCGAAGTGGGAAAAACTACGTGGTCGCTGTGGTTTCGCGAACGGCGTCAGTTTTTTTTTTTTTTTTTTGTTTTTTTTTGGCGATACGTGCTTTCTTTTTGGCATCGTCGTGACAGTGAAGAGAAATCCTCCTTCGAGGACTTTTCTTTTACTCCATCGTGTCGTATTTTACTTTCTTGACTTTGAAGTACCGATAGGCCGCGTAACCGGTGATGGTCAGAAGAACCGCGGCGGCCAGCGTGGAACCGACCGCGACTGGCGCGGTCTCATCTCTACCGGCCCGGGCGCTCAGAGACGCGCACGAGAACTCGGCCGCGAACTCGTTGTTCTTGAATTTGAACGGTTGCAGTTTCATGTCTCTGAAAAAAAAAAATGTCCCGGAAATGAAATTTTTCGACCGACAAATATTTGTTTTTCTTTTCTGTTTTTGCGATATACAATATGCAAAATTACAATATATTTTTGCGCATCATATTCGCAAGATGTATGCGCGTACATACCTCAGCAATACGCTACCGTGGTTCTTGCCGTCGGTTAGCGGGATCTCGATTTCCGAACAGACGTACGATTTTCCGAGCGGCGTCGGAAACAACATGGAGCTGTGCTTCTGACTGGAACTCAAACGAATAGTTTTATCTGAAAGAGAAAAACAAAAACATTGATTTGACATTAATTAAAATTAAAGAAAAGAAAGTAAGTATAGAAAAATATAACAAGGGGTCTGTTTCGAGCTTTTAAACAAAAAGCATACAAAACGCAGTAAAACGCAAATGAAAAACAAATAAAAATAAGAGATGACAAACGTTTCGGCCCTTACTTGTGAGCCTTCTTCAGTGTATAAATATAAATATAAATGTAAATATAAAAAAATAAATATAAATAATCACGTTGGATATGAAATCAAACTTTATACAACTACTATGGACTTCTAATGTAAGATCTATCATTTTTTCTTCAATTTTCTTGTAATTTTGCGAACCTTGTAATATGACGTGATTATTTATATTTATTTTTATATTTACATTTATATTTATACACTGAAGAAGGCTCAAGTAAGNGCCGAAACGTTTGTCATNTCTTAATTTNATTTGTTTTTCATTTGCGTTTTACTGCGTTTTATATGCTTTTTGTTTAAATAAACTTTAAGATCCATTAAAAGCTCGAAACAGACCTTGTTATATTTTTCTACACTTACTTACTTATTGTTAATATTGCGAGCGAATTTTATAATTTAATACGTTTTAAAGAAAAGAAATGTCTGTGCTCGCAATTGATTTCGAAGTAAATTATTCAAAAACATTCGGTGTACGTAATAAACGTTTTCTCTCGTCTATTTCAATCGCAAAAAAAGTGAACGCGAACGTTATCGGATTTTAAACGGAAATGTCTGCGAGAGCGAAATAGCACAAAGTTGGTTGCATTAAATCAATAAGATCGACACACACTCACTTGGCTGATCAATGTGCTCGAAATGCTTGTCGCTGGAATTGTAGGTCAATTCGATTTTCTCCACGTACCAGCGTTCGTTACCAGGTGTCTGGAAAATAAATATAATTTTCGTTACGTCTTCTCGTTATCTCGGAATGTTTCGAGGAGATCTTACTTACGAGGTCGGTCTTTTGTCTCGCCTATATATATTTTTTAGCGCGAGAGGAAGTTAAAAGATCGAAGACAAAAGACAAGACGCGCGCGATCTACGTTTGTTTCAACATATCGTTAGTTCGCGTGTTAGAAGCAACGTGTCTCGCGTACACGTTGTATGTAAGTTTTTTATTTTTTTTTATTTTCACTGCGCGTTTTTTTCCCCCGAAAAGAATTTTTTTTTTTTTCACCCCCCTTTAGCTCGATGTAATTATAATTGCGGAATATCGCGATGGGTTCTGACACGCAATCGGCGATATATATGAATAAGACGAAAATATCGAATGGATTAGTATCTGGTTAAAAGGGTCGAGTATCGATTTTTCGCGAAAAGCAACCCTGTGCTTGGCACTCGCGATGAATCGTCGATCCCTCGTCGGATAATTGCCCCACGACCCGAGAATTTTATCTCTTGACGTAACTCGTCGAGAGATCGAAGAACAACGCTTTATGTATACATAACAAAAAAATTACCTTGGCGAAACTCCAGGACAATACAAAAGAGTCCCATTTCAATGACATCGTCACCGTGTTCTCGTTGTCGCAATTTCCCGTCACGGTCGCCTCGTTGGGGACATAAATGCTCATTTCCTGCAAAGTTAAAAAAAAAAAGAAAAAAACGTCACACGCGCGTTCTTATTGTTATTGGTTTATTTATTTACTTATTATATCATCTCTATTTTCGATATGATATATAAATTTTTCTTCGAGATGTAGGGGGAGACCGGGGCTAGTTGTGACACGGGGTTAGTTGTCAAACTGCTATTATCTTGCTTGCTAAATCTTGGAAAATATTCTTCTTTCTATTGTAAGTTGCTACTAGTTGTGTTAGTTACGTGTACGAAAGAATTTTTCTTAAAAACATTATATATGATATTTACGAGCACTTTTGTAAAAACTGGATATGGCAAGTAGATTTTTCTGATCTCGATTCTTTGGTAATTTCATTGGTTTTAAAATTTTTAATTGCAATTTTATCTCATGTATAGAAAATATGGTAGTTTTAAATAAGTTTTTTCTATATTTATTTAATCGTCATCGCATCGCAGTTTATAAATATAATATCTTTTATTTAAAATGAACGTTTGGGATAAGTTGAATCAAATTGAGACGGGATAAGTTGTCACACGATGAGCATGCGCGAAGAAGTAATCGGAGTGATCGTTATGTATCGTTATAACTTTTTCAGTACCTGTCATTGTTTTTTTTTTATTAAAGATTAGATTACTAATTATGTTTTATAGTTTTTAACTGATTTAATATTGTGAAATCATTTAAACTTGTTTTATATATAT